CTATTTGCAGATGACATGATACTATACATAGAGAATCCTAAAGATGCTACCAGAAAACTACTAGAGCTAATCAATGAATTTGGTAAAGTAGCAGGATACAAAATTAATGCACAGAAATCTTTGGCATTCCTATACACTAAGGATGAAAAATCTGAAAGTGAAATCAAGAAAACACTCCCATTTACCATTGCAACAAAAAGAATAAAATATCTAGGAATAAACCTACCTAAGGAGACAAAAGACCTGTATGCAGAAAATTATAAGACACTGATGAAAGAAATTAAAGATTATACAAATAGATGGAGAGATATACCATGTTCTTGGATTGGAAGAATCAACATTGTGAAAATGACTCTACTACCCAAATCAATCTACAGATTCAATGCAATCCCTATCAAACTACCACTGGCATTTTTCACAGAACTAGAACAAAAAATTTCACAATTTGTATGGGAACACAAAAGACCCCAAATAGCCAAAGCAATCTTGAGAACAAAAAATGGAGCTGGAGGAATCAGGCTTCCTGACTTCAGACTGTACTACAAAGCTACAGTAATCAAGACAGTATGGTACTGGCACAAAAACAGAAATATAGATCAATGGAACAGGATAGAAAGCCCAGAGATAAACCCACGCACATATGGTCACCTTATCTTTGATAAAGGAGGCAGGAATGTACAGTGGAGAAAGGACAGCCTCTTCAATAAGTGGTGCTGGGAAAACTGGACAGCTACATGTAAAAGTATGAGATTAGATCACTCCCTAACACCATACACAAAAATAAGCTCAAAATGGATTAAAGACCTAAATGTAAGGCCAGAAACTATCAAACTCTTAGAGGAAAAGATAGGCAGGACACTCTATGAGATAAATCACAGCAAGGTCCTTTTTGACCCACCTCCTAGAGAAATGGAAATAAAAACAAAAATAAACAAATGGGACCTAATGAAACTTAAAAGCTTTTGCACAGCAAAGGAAACCATAAACAAGACCAAAAGACAACCCTCAGAATGGGAGAAAATATTTGCAAATGAAGCAACTGACAAAGGATTGATCTCCAAAATTTATAAGAAGCTCATGCAGCTTAATAACAAAAAAACAAACAACCCAATCCAAAAATGGGCAGAAGACCTAAATAGACATTTCTCCAAAGAAGATATACAGATTGCCAACAAACACATGAAAGAATGCTCAACATCACTAATCATTAGAGAAATGCAAATCAAAACTACAATGAGATATCATCTCACACCAGTCAGAATGGCCATCATCAAAAAATCTAGAAACAATAAATGCTGGAGAGGGTGTGGAGAAAAGGGAACCCTCTTACACTGTTGGTGGGAATGTAAATTGATACAGCCACTGTGGAGAACAGTATGGAGGTTCCTTAAAAAACTACAAATAGGGCTTCCCTGGTGGCGCAGTGGTTGAGAGTCCAACTGCCGATGCAGGGGACACGGGTTCGTGCCCCAGTCTGGGAAGATCCCACATGCCGTGGAGCGGCTGGGCCCGTGAGCCATGGCCACTGAGCCTGCGCGTCCAGAGCCTGTGCTCCGCGACGAGAGAGACCACAGCAGTGAGAAGCCCGCGTACCGCAAAAAACAAAACAAAACAAAAAAAAACTACAAATAGAACTACCATATGACCCAGTAATCCCACTACTAGGCATATACCCTGAGAAAACCATAATTCAAAAAGCATCATGTACCAAAATGTTCATTGCAGCTCTATTTACAATAGCCCAGAGATGGAAACAACCTAAGTGTCCATCATTGGATGAATGGATAAAGAAGATGTGGCACATATATACAATGGAATATTACTCAGCCATAAAAAGAAACGAAATTGAGCTATTTGTAATGAGGTGGATAGACCTAGAGTCTGTCATACAGAGTGAAGTAAGTCAGAAAGAGAGAGACAAATACCGTATGCTAACACATATATATGGAATATAAGGGAAAAAAATGTCATGAAGAACCTAGGGGTGAAATAGGAATAAAGACACAGACTTACTAGAGAATGGACTTGAGGATATGGGGAGGGGGAAGGGTAAACTGTGACAAAGCGAGAGAGAGGCATGGACATATATACACTACCAAACGTAAGGTAGATAGCTAGTGGGAAGCAGCCGCATAGCACAGGGAGATCAGCTCGGTGCTTTGTGACCGCCTGGAGGGCTGGGATAGGGAGGGTGAGAGGGAGGGAGACGCAAGCGGGAAGAGATATGGGAACATATGTATATATATAACTGATTCATTTTGTTGTGAAGCTGAAACTAACATACCATTGTAAAGCAATTATACTCCAGTAAAGATGTTAAAATGAAAAAAATAATAAATTTATTTACTTATTTATATTTTATTTTTGGCTGCATTGGGCCTTCATTGCCGTGCACGGACTTTCTCTACTTGCGGCAAGCAGGAGCTACTCTTCGTTGTGGTGCGTGGGCTTCTCATTGTGGTGGCTTCTCTTGTGGCAGAGCACGGGCTCTAGGCACGTGGGCTTCAGTAGTTGTGGCATGTGAGCTCAGTAGTTGTGGCGCACAGGCTTAGCTGCTCTGCGGCATGTGGGATCTTCCCGGACCAGGGCTCAAACCCATCTCCCCTGCATTGGCAGGTGGATTCTTAACCACTGTGCCACCATGGAAGTCCTAAAAGGTGTTTTTAACAGTATGAAGATTCCTCAAAACACTAAAAATAGAGTTGCCATATGATCCAGCAATTCCACCTCTGGGCATGTATCCTGAAAAAACTGTAATTCAGAAACATACAGGGAGGGCTTCCCTGGTGGCACAGTGGTTAAGAATCTGCCTGCCAATGCAGGGGACACGGGTTCAAGCTCTGGTCCGGGAAGATCCCACATGCTGTGGAGCAACTAAGCCCATGTGCCACAACTACTGAGCCTGTGCACCTAGAGCCTGTGCTCCACAACAAGAGAAGCCACCACAATGAGAATCCTGCGCACCGCAACAAAGAGTAGCCCCCACTTGCCACAACTAGAGAAAGCCCACGCGCAGCAACAAAGACCCAATGCAGCCAAAAATAAAATAAATAAAATTAAAAAAAAAAAGATACAGGGAATTCCCTGGTGGTCCGGTGGTTAGGACTCTGTGCTTCCACTGTAGGGGGTACAGGTTCGATCCCTGGTCAGGGAAGTAAGATCCTGCATGTCGCACAGTGCAGCCAAAAAAATAATAACAAGTAAATAAATAAATAAAATATAACCAAAAAAAGATACATGCACCCCTATGTTCATAGCAGCACTACTCATGATAGCCAAGACATGGAAGCAACCTAAATGCCCATCGACAGATGAATGGATAAAGAAGATGTGGTACATATATACAATGGAATAATACCCAGCCATAAAAAAAATGAAATAATGCTATTTGCAGCAACATGGATGGACCTAGAGATTATCATACTAAGTGAAATAAGTCAGAAAGAGAAAGACAAATACCATATGATATCACTTATATGTGGAATCTAAAAACACTTCGTATCAGTTGACAGAAATCTTCTTCATTTTATTTTACAGCTGCATAGTACTCTGTTGTACGGACATAGCACAGTTTATTCAACCCTTCTGCTATGTATGGGCATTTAATAAGATTTGATTTTTAATGGTCTTCCATCTTTAGAAATTTTATTTTATTATTTTCAAATCTGCCCAATTTTTATAGCCTTTTGTTCTCTGCGTGTGAAATCATTTTAAACTGTTTTAAACTGTGAAGTAATTTTAAGCTGTTTTATATTTCTAATATTTGAAAATTCTAACATCCAAAGCCCTTAGAAATCTAATTCTCTTTTGTGTTGTGTCTTTCTGACAAATTTTCCTGAGATTGTTTTCTTATATATTTTATAATTTGGGACTGTGAACCCAAATTTGGTTATCTAAATCTAGGGAAGTCTGTGAAGCCTGATTTGGGACTACTTTAAGCCAATCTCTCAACTTTGAGTTTTGTGGACTAAGCAGATAATAAAAATTCAAGTCTTAAATCAATGTGAGGGCAAAACTCTAATAGTAAATCCTCAGGGAAGACATTTTTTCTATTTCCCCCAATTGGAACAGAGGCTGAGATAGACCATTTACCTTACAGGCTTCTTTCGCAGTGGGTGGGCTTCCTCTTGCCCACCTTTCACTGAGAGTAGAGCCCTTCCTGGGTGCTGCTTCGAGCAAGGGTCTTGGTTGTGTCTCCCACCTTGTATAGGCTATTAGATATTAGAACCTAAGGCTTGGGGTCCAGGTATGGACAAATCCTCTCAAGAGAATCTGACTTCAGGGCTTGTTCAGGGATTCCTGCTGTTTTCTCATTTTGGCCCATTGGGAATTCCCTTTCTTATGAGCTTAGCATTTGTTTAAAAGATTGTTTATCTAGCATTTCTAGATCTATTATATCAAGAATTTATTTCAGACCATCTGGTCTGCAATGTTGCTAGAAGTAGAAGGTCCAGATGATGTCTACTATCTGATATATGCACTAGGATGCTTACATTATGGTAGAAGAGTGCCACAGAATGTTTCTTGAAATTACATCTTAGTCAGAATGCCTATATTTAAACTAGATAAAAGTACAGCATCTGCTCTGTGCCGGGAGTGAAGGGGTAGCAACCCACTCATTCCCCTCTCACTCCCTGAGATGCCTTTAAGGAAACTGCAGGGCCCTGTTGAGCACTGTATGAAAACTGCAGCAATGGGAGGACCTGTACAAAGGTATTTGATGACAGGCCATCACAAAGCTTTACAGAGTTGTGCCCTTCCTGGAATTATACTCCCCATTCTATGAGACTAGAACTACAAATAAGGAATTAGGGGATCTAAGCTCTAAATTCAGGTTCTGCCGTGAGCAAGATGTGTAACCCTGCGAAGTCTCTTAAGTTTGTGCCTAAGATTTCCCATCTGAAAAATGAAAAAGCTGGACTCTGATCCCTTCAGTCTGTAGGTTTTGTGTACATTACCTTTGCCGGAGTTAGAGGCGTGCCAGGCCAATGGCTGCTCACCTTTACAACATATACTCTGACTAGGAGCTTGATGGGCCGATTCTGTGTGGGATCCCCCTGGAGATCTGGGGATCAGAGAAGGACACTGCCTCTGATTCAGGGTAAATGAGGTAGGAGCCCTGGGTGGGATGGCGGGGTATGGAGCAGAAAAAACACTGGTAAGACAGTCTTCTTCCTGCATCCCCACTTGTGCTCCCTGGTCCCCCATTCCTTCCCGAAACATACCGTGAACTTGCCCACAAGGTTTCCAGACCCTTCTTCCTCTCCATCTCCATCCTGACCTCCTTGCCCTCGATACAGGGGAAACACATTCAGCCAGTCTTCAAAGTGGTTAAACTCTTCTTCCAGGGAGCTGTTGTAAATCTGAAAGGCGAGGGCCTCAGTGACAGCTCGTCCAGAATCCGAGCAGAATCCCCTCTTGCAACACCCAGTCACCTTCAGAGTGGTGATTGCTTTTTTCTGGGACACAGAGCCTTTGACTTCAGCCTTACCCTGGTCTTGGGCTTCCCCATCCACAGAAAGGAGATTGCCCCCATCTGGGAACAGCAGAAATGCCCCATTAGAAATACTGGTGTGGGGGAGGGAGGGAGAAACAAAGAGGAAAAACAAGAAAGCCAATCTCTTACCTGAATCCCCAACATCATCCATTTCATCCTCATCAAAGTTGGTCTGAAATCAAAGCGCAGGTCAAAGATTCTTCCCTACCCTTTACCTCCTTAATCTACCCCTTTTCCAGGATAGGGAGTTGGAAAACTTTAGCTCAAGTTCCAGCTGGGTAAGCCACTTGCATTTTCAAAGCCTTAGTTTATCCTATAGTCCTGATATGTAACCACCAGGTACATGTGGCTATTGAGCACTTGAAATGCATCTGGTCCAAACTGAGATGTGCTGGAAGCATAAACTACACACCAGATTTTAAAGACTAGTATAAAATAAGATTATAAAATATCTCATTATTGAGCTTTCCCTGGGGGCACAGTGGTTGAGAATTCACCTGCCAATGCAGGGGACACGGGTTCGAGTCCTGGTCCGGGAAGACCCCACATGCCGCGGAGCAACTAAGCCTGTGCACCACAACTACTGAGCCTGCGCTCCAGAGCCTATGCTGCGCAGCAAGAGAAGCCACCGCAATGAGAAGCCCTCGTACCGCAACAAAGAATAGCCCCCGCTCACCACAACTAGAGAAAGCCCACGCGCAGCAACAAAGACCCAACACAGCCATAAATAAATAAATAAAATAAATCTATTAATTAAAAAAATCTCACTATTAATTGTTTATAATGGTTACTTCTTGAAATGATACTATAGATATACTAGGTTAAATAAAATATATTATTAAAATCATTTTCATCTGTTTCCTTTTACTTTTTTTTAATGTGGCTACTACAAAAGTTAAAATTACATATGTGGCTCACACGATATTTCTGTTGGACAAGACAGCTCCAGATAATGGAGTTAATAATCCCCAGCTTCTCAAATTGTTGTGAAGATGAGAAAAGATGGCTGTAACAAAGAGTTCTGAAAAACTGTAGAGCTCCATGTTTGATGAGATCCTTCTTCTTACCATTTACCCTCCTCTGTCTCCAGCCCCTCAACCCGCAGAAGCCTGCTCTGCTCCCACCTGCCCCTGGAGCTCCTGCAGAGATGCATAGTACTTGGACCACCAGTCGAGCTCTTCAGGATCTGGGATGTCCTCCTCCAGTTCTGGGCCTTGATTCAGGAGGCCTCCCAGAGGGAGCTTCTTCAGAAGAGCCTGAGGGAGCAAGAACTCAGCACCTCTAACCTAGCACCACCCCAAGCCCCGCCAGTCCCTTCTCCACCCATCCCCCATACTCCATCACCTTTAGGAGCCGCCTGAGTATCCCCACTTCAGCCAAGAAGGGATCCCGGGACCTCTGTTCTGAGAGGGGATAAAAGACACCAGGAGGTCAGGTAAGTAGAAGCCAGACTCAGTGCTCCACTGGAGGGTCCCCTGGAGCCATCTCAGCCAGGAACCAGAAGGACTTCTGTCTGGTGGCCCCTAAGGGGAAAGCCCCTTACCTTGAGGTACCTTGGGCACCAGGTCCCCTGTCTCCTCCTCTCCTTCCCCCTCAGGGGGATCCTCCTGACTCCAGAGTGTGACTCTCAGCATATGGGGGACAATGTGGGAACCCACGAGCACTGTGCAGCCAAAGGCCCAGCGCTCAATCACCAGCATGCTGAGGGGGGCCGCAGATAAGGCTGCTCTGGCAGGTCCTGGGGGTAGGGAGAGAGGACCTGTGCCTCTGCAGACTGTGGAGGGAGGAGAGGCAGCAGCAGAGATAGATGAGAAAACAGTGTAGCTAAATACGCATTCAAAGCCCACAGCCTCACTGAGTCATCTCTGGTGAGTCATTGCTTTCTGAACCCATTTCCCAGCTAAAAAGGGGACACAATCCTGGACTGGAAAGACTATTGTATCAAGTGATATAACAGTACAAAAATTCTTTGGAACCTACAAAGCGCCATCAGAAATATGAGGTTGTTGTTGTTATTATCATTATGTAAAGGACCAATGCTCAGTTTGCTAATATAGATTTAGAACCATAAAACTACGTATGCTCTTTAATCCAGAAATTCTATATCTATCAATGGATCCTAAGCGGGGGGCGGAGACAACAGTTATAATACTGTATTGTTGGCTTTATTTTACATATATGTGACAGTTACAGTACAAAAGGGGGGAGGAATGAATGGAGTTATAATAGAGAAAAGTATTTCTATTTTACTGGAACTAAATGAGTATTAATCTGAAATAGATTGTGAAAAATCAGTATGCATACTGTAATTCCTAGAGCAGCTACTAAGTAAATATCAACTAAGGAATTAAAGCAGTATACTAACAAATATCTATGTAATACAAAAGAAGGCAGTAAAGGAAGAACGAAAAATATGAGACTTATAGAAAACAAATAGCAAAGAGGCAAATGTAAATCCAACCATATCAATAATAACATCAAATGTGACTGTATTAAACAGTTCAAAGACAGAGATTGTCAAACGGATTAAAAAAAAAGATGCAACTACATGCTGTTTAAGAGATGCTCTTTCGTGAGATACATATAGGTTGAAGGTAAAAGGATGGGGAAACATATGCCATGCAAATACTAACCATAGAGAACTAGAGTAGCTATATTATCAGACAAATAGTCTTTAAGACAAAAAAGAGAGACAAACTAGAGACAAACAAGGACATTTTATAATGATAAACAGATCGATTCATAGGAAGTTATAACAATTATAAATATATATGCACCTAACAACAAAAACTGAAAATACAAGTAAAAAAAAGACAAAAAAATAGGGCTTCACTGGTGGCGCAGTGGTTGACAGTTCGCCTGCTGATGCAGGGGACACGGGTTCGTGCCCCGGTCCGGGAAGATCCCACATGCCGCGGAGCGGCTGGGCCCGTGAGCCATGGCCGCTGAGCCTGCGCGTCTGGAGCCTGTGCTCCGCAATGGGAGAGGCCACAACAGTGAGAGGCCCGCGTACCGCAAAAAAAAATAAAAATAAAAGACAAAAAAATAAAGGGAGAAACAATTCAACAAAAGTTGGAAACTTCAATACCATATTCTCAATAATGGATAGAACAACTAGACATAAAATTCCCAAGGAGGCTTTTTTTAGGAAAGCTTGAATAATACTATCAACCCAACTTGACCTGACTGGTATCTGATATAGAACATTCCACCCAACAACGAAGCATTCACATTCTTTTCAGGTGCACAGTGGAGAGAGGGGTGTTTTCCTCAACTTGCACTATGAAATGGGAAATGAGAGGAACACCCCCTAGAAGTTCAGCGAGCAAAGTGCTTTCAGTTTCATCATCTTACAGCACAATGAAGTTTTCAAACTGAAAACTGCTGCATGTGAAACAGAGTCATGAAATAGTGTTGCGTTTTGTTGTTGCTGTTGCTGTGCTCCCCCTTGCAGTCGGGAACCACTGTGCTTTGTCCCAGTCCCCGCCTTGCCCCCCGCACAGCACTCTTCAGATTACAAAGCCCTTTCACCAAGATCCTTTCTTTCATTGGCTCCTTATAGCACCCTTTCATCCCTTTTTTAAACAAACAAACAGAAAAACTAAAGCTCAAATCAGACAAGTGATTTGACAGGCTCCTAAGTGACATTGCCAGAATTTGACTCCAAAGCCCATACTAGAGTACAGTAATTACAAATTAAACAAAGAATGTATTTGTCTTCATGGCCCCTGGTGTCTCAGATTCCTTTGGACTCACACTTCATGACTTTTGGCTAATCCACTCAATCAACAGAGCCAACAGAGCACAACCAGTTCATGAATTAATCCAGGGATCAGCCAATTATTGCCTGTAAACCAAATCTGGCCTGCTGTCAGTTTTTGTAAATAAAGTTTTATTGGAACTGCCATACTCATTCATTTCCTTGTCACCTATGGATGATTACATGCTATGATGGCAGAGTTGAGTAACTGCAACTGAGACTGTATGGCCCACAAAGCCTAAAATATTTACTATTTGGCGCTTTATAGAAAATTTGGTGACCCCTGGGTTAATGTAATATAACCAGCCGGGAATTCACTATCCCACTGCCCTCTTTCATTTCTCAGCTCAGAATTCCGGCCTCCAGCCCATGTCCTCACCACTGTCAGATGCCTGACGAGCTCAGTGAAATTGGGGTTCTCACGGTAACTGGTCAGGACCTCGGACTCCACTCGCCGACCGGCCACCTCCAGCACAACCTGGGGCTGCTCCACCTCAAACAGATGCACACGGCCAAGGCCCCTCAGACCCCAGAACAGTACCTGGGGCTGGGAAGTGGGAGATTCAGGGGCCTGTACCTGACTGAAGGACACCCAGGTGTAGGGAAGGGAGGAGGATGTGACTGCCTGGTGCTACCTCAACATGGAACTCCCTAAGCAGCGGGCGCACGTGCGGTGGCAGGGATAGGCGTCCGGAGAGGGGCTCAACCAGGGCGGTCAGGTCCTGGGGCTCCACATCACTAGGCACTGAGGGCTGAAGGGAGCAAGAGATCAGAGGTCAAAGAGGAGTCAGGCCAAAGGAGGGAAAGCCTGGGCTCGGGGAAAAGAAATGGAGGACTGCTGGTGAAATATAAAACCAGAGGAACCTGGCAAGGCTGGATTGATGGGAGGGGGGTGTCTCAGGAAACAGCCACGTACAGGAAGGAGGATGGGTGTCTGAGGCATGAGGGTCAACCCGGGCTTGGGTTCTCTGGGGTTGGAGGCCTGGCAAGGTGAAGCTAGGGTAGGTCTACTTCAAGTGTTACCTGGAGTCAGGAGGTCCAATGAGGCGGTCCCAGGACAGACCTGCAGCCTGCATTCTCTGGGGGTAAGGGAGTTGGAGGGGTAACCCTGGGACATGCCCACATCCCTGGAGCTGGATGACCTAAACAAATAGCAGAAGCGATCCACGGTGTGTCCAGCTAGACCACAGCACTCTGACCTCAAGTCAACTACTGTAGTCCAGTTCAATGAGTTCAAAGGTGGCGATGAGCTCCCCAGCTGCCCGGGGCCCCTTCCTCAGGGGGAAGAACTGCAACTCAGGATGCTGGTAAGGGTCCTCCATCAGCTTTACCCTCAGGGCGGCCAGCGTCCTTCCCAGGAACACAGAGGGGCCCTTCGGGGAGCAGGGCAGTGAAGACAAAAGTAGAAGAGGCTCAGGAACCAGGGGAGGGCACATCAAGACAAGAAGAGGGGATCCTTGGGGGTGGGAACCCAGGTGGAGCCCAGGCCACACTCACAAACTTATTGTGGTCACAGACATTGACAATCACTAGTGGGGGCTCCTCCTGCAGGTGCTCCCTCAGTCCACGAATAACTGATCAAACACCACGGTTCATCCTACAGAGGGCTCAGCATCTGCTCCAGGACCTTGAGGGCCATGCAGGGAAGGAGCCAACAGCAGTTGTCAGAAGAACTCCTCACCCCTAAGACCCTCTGGTTCTACGCCACCCCCTAAATCAGGGCAGTCTGATCCAGTATCCTGTCCTGAAAATCCAAGGCAGGAAGAGAGACTTAGGGTCTTGGAAAAAGCTCAGCCTCCACCCCACCTTGTCTCCCAGTGCCCCTCCACCAGCATCCCAGCCCAGCCCTCACCCGTGTGGTCTGGCACTGGGTAGAGATGAGGACTCAAGCAAAGGGGTCCGAGAGCCCACTGTCATCTGCTGCCAGCACCCCTCGGGCCTGGTACAAGTGAGCCCGGAGCTGGAAGTAGCTGAAGTCTGGGGTGGAGAGAAGGAAGGGGTCATGTTAGCTCAGGGACCACTGGAGTCCCTGACCCCAGACCCCTCTGATCCGAACCCCCAGCTGAGCATCTAGCCCCACACCTCAGGCAAATAGAGAACTGGGCCCGCCTGCCCCACGCCCCGCACTCCCAGTCCCGGTCCAGGCTGAGGGGCAGCCCAGCCGAGGGCTCAGGCAGCAGATCCGGGGGGAGCTCTGAGGTGCAGGCCTTGGCTTGCTTGCCCAGCTCCAGCCCCAGGAAGAGCTCCAGCTTGGCACGGACCTCGCCAGCGGCTTCCCCAGGTGCCTGCTGCGGGGAGGAAGCATGTTAGGGACCACCTCTTATTACCCCAGCTAGGCCAACCATCTTGCTCCTCCAAGGCAGGCCCCAACTCTCTGCATCACCAGATCCTTAATCCAAAGAGTACTCCTTGTACCCCACCCTCTTCATGCCCTCCATCCAATGCCCCATCACCCTTAAACTCCCTCTCATTCCCTATCCCTCCTGCCCCAACACTGTCACGTCCTATAGCCCAGACCCCAGACCCCAAAACTATGCTCTGAGCTTGCTCTCCCCTACTCCACCCTCACCCATCTGTCCCCTCATCCCCAACACATTTAGATTCCCTGTCCCTTACCCCTGTGGTCACAGCTTCTCACCACTAGGGAACCCTGCTGGTGTCTCTCCCAGGGACACCTCATTTACAAATCTTTTGCCTCCAAATCAGCTGTACTTATAAGGAACTAATTAGTCACACTCCCATTTTCATAACCCTGCTCATCTGTCAGAGCCTACTCAGCAAAAGGGCCAGTTCAGGCCCAGAGATGACAATATTTGGGGTTTATCTCACGTCAAAGCTCACCTGGGTAAAGGCACAATCTCCTTTTGGCACTTTGGATAATTAAAAAGAGTTTGGTACACTTTAAAAAATAATAATTTTAAAACAATTTTAAAAGTTAAAAAAATTTTAATTAAAACATTTTTTAATTGAATAAAATTTTAAAACTTTTTGACCGGAAACTTAATTTAAAAAAATAGTTTGGAGGGAATTCTCTGGCAGTCCAGTGGTTAGGACTCCACACTTTCACTGCTGAGGGCACGGGTTCAATCCCTGGTCAGGGAACTAAGATCCCGCATGCAGCATGGCGTGGCCAAAAATTATAAACAAATAAATAAATAGTTTGGGGACCCCTGTTGCGCTCCACATGGCTCCACCCCAATGTCTGTGCTGCCCTATGAGCCTCAGCCCATTCTAGTCCCAGCACCCTCGCCCCCGGGACCCCTCACTGTGAACAGCAGATTCTGGATCTTCCCACAGTCCCGGCCCCGTTCCTCCTCCACCACAGAGAACAGCACATCCTGGGCGGGATCCAGGCCCAGGCCACATGGCGCCGCCCACTGAGCTTCCAGACCAGCACATCCAGGAGGGATTGCTGGGGCTGCAGGCAGAGAACTGGGTTACAGAGGTGAATCTGGAGTTGAGATCACCTGCTCCCACAGCTGCCACTGGATGGACGGACCAAAGTCCATCTCCAGCCCTGACCTCCCCCCCAACCCCAGATCCATCTGGCCACCTGCCTCCTGGACATCTCTCCCCTGCGGATGCCCCACAGGCCACATCAGACTCAAAAGTCCAACCTGACTTTTATTTTCTGGTCTCTCTCTTTTTTAAATTGTGTTAAAATACACATAACGTAAAATTTACCATCTTAACCACTGTTAAGTGTACAGTTCAGTATGACATTCACTTTTTTTTTTTTTTTTTTTTTGGCTGCCTTGGGTCTTTGTTGCTGCACGTGAGCTTTGCCTAGTTGCCGCAAGCGGGGCTACTCTTCGTTGTGGTGCGCGGGCTTCTCATTGCGGTGGCTTTTCTTATTGCGGAGCACGGGCTCTAGAGCGCAGGCTCAGCAGCCATCACTACCGCCCACTCCAGAACTTTCTTCATGGCAAAACTGACACTCTGTATCCGTTAAACACAAAGAGACCAAAAAGCCCAACTGCCACTTTTGAAGAGCCTGGAGCAAAAGCAAGGGGGTCGGGAGCAAAAGCAGCGTTCTGCGCATGCCCCCTGCACACCACACCACCTAAGGGGTGGGCAAAACACCTAAGCCGCCCCTCCGGCCCGACCCCTAGACACACCCCTACCCTCACCCCATATAAGGAACAAGCTCGCCCCACTTCGGGGAGCGAGCCAGCAAGGGAAACTTATTTGTTGTCACTGCCCCCTGCTGCAGCAGGGGCCCCAATAAAGCCTTGCCTGAAAAAAAAATAAAACCCACTAACTTTCCATTTCCCTCTCCCAGCGCTGACAATCACCACTCTACTTTCTCTCTATGAGTTTGACTACTCTGAGTACCTCATATGAGTGGAATCATTTGTCCTTTTGTGACTGGCTTTTTTTCGCTTAGCATAAGGTCTTCAGGGTTCACCATGTTGGAGCCTGTGTCAGCCTGATTTCCTTACTTTTCCCTCCTCTCAACCTGCTCTCTCCCCAGTGATCCCCACTGTGTGCCCATTCACATCAGCTAAGTATTTGAGCTGGTGTCAGCCTTCTCCTCCAACATCTAATCACCAAGTCCTGCCAATGTCCCCCTTCCTCACTCTCTTAGATCAAGACAGTCCACTCTTGTCCAGACAACTGAGACAGTCTTCCTGTCTTCAGTCTTCCCTTCCAACTCATTCTCTCATGAATGGCTGGCTTGCTACCATCCTCTGGGTCTCAGTTTAAATGCTGTCTCTGCAGAGAAGTCTTCCCTGACCACCTTATGTAAGCTGGTTCTCCCCTGACCCCTTAGCTTCTATAACATCTTCTTTAGCAATACCTACAGATCATCATTATTTTTCTCATGCATTTAAGATGCATAATCTATCTCCCTCGCCAGAACATAAGCCCCAAAAGGGCAAGAAACATGACAGGGGTGGATCCCCAGGGTCTCATACAGAGCCTGGCATAAAATAGGACTTCAAATATCATTGAGGAAGCAAACAAACAATAGCTAGAAGTGATCACTCTAAAGCTGACCCTCTCCTTCCCCTATTTAAAAATCATCATGCCTTGTAAATCAATGAAGTTACACCACACACAAAAATAAACTCAAAATGGCTTGAAGACTTAAATATAAGACAGGACAACATAAAACTCCTAGAAGAGAACATAGGCAAAACATTCTCTGGCATAAATTGTACCAATGTTTTCTTAGGTCAGTCTCCCAAGGAAAGAGAAATAAAAGCAAAAATAAACAAATCGGACCTAATCAAACTTACAAGCTTTTGTACAGCAAAGGAAACCATAAACAAAATGAAAAGACAACCAACAGACCGTGAGAAAATATTTGCAAATGATGCGACCAACAAGGGCTTACTTTCCAAAATATATAAACAGACCATACAACTCAACAACAAAAAACAACAAACAACCCAATGGGCAGAAGACCTAAATAGACATTTCTCCAAAAACGACATACAGATGGCCAACAGGCACATGAAAAAATGCTCAAACATCACTATTATTAGAGAAATGCAAATCAAAATTACAATGAGGTACCACCTCACACCAGTCAGAATGGCCATCATTAAAAAAATCTACAAATAACAGATGCTGGAGAGGGTGTGGAGAAAAGGGAACCCTCCTATGCTGTTGGTGGGAATGTAAATTGGTGAAGCCACTATGGAGAACAGTATGGAGGTTCCTCAAAAACTAAAAATAGAGTTGCCATATGATCCAGCAATTCCACTCCTGGGCATATATCCAGACAAAACTCTAATTCAAAAGGATACATGTACCCCAATGTTCACAATAGCACTATTCACAATAGCCAAGTCATGGAAGTGACCTAAATGTCCATCAACAGATGAATGGATAAAGAAGATGTGATATACATATACAATGGAATACTACTCAGCCATAAAAAAGAATGAAATAATGCCATTTGCAGCAACATGGATGGACCTAGAGATTATCATACTAAGTGAAGTAAGTCAGAAAGAGAAAGACAAATACCATATATCACCTTTATGTGGAATCTAAAATACTGCACAAATAAACTTATTTATGAAACATAAACAGACTCACAGACATAGAGAACAGACTTGTGGTTGCCAAGGGAATGCGGGGGGTAGGGGAGAGATGGATTGGGGGTTGGGGATTAGCAGTTGCAAACTATTATATATAGAATGGATACACAACAAGGTCTTACTGTACAGCATGGGGAACTATATTCAGTATCCCGTGATAAACCATAATGGAAAAGAATATGAAAAAGAATATATATATATATATACACACACACATATCTGAATATATGTGTGTATATATATATATTTATATATGAATCCCTTTGCTGTACAGCAGAAATTAACACAACATTGTAAATCAATTACACTTCAATAAAATAAATATTTTAAAAAATTATCAAAAAGAAAATCATCATGCCTGACTTCCACCTCCAGTAATATCATGAGCTAGGAATTAAGACCTACCTCTCACTAAAACCAACTAAAATGACTTGAAAAAATATTTTTAAATATTTATTAAAGGCAGTGGTGAGATAATAAGAATGAAGAATTATCATACTAAGCCCTGAATGAAGACAGGAATCCAGGGAAGTTAACAGAGCATTTCAGCAACTTTTGCCACAAGGGCATTTGCCAAACCTGGCAACCCTGAGCTTTTCATGACCTGGCAGTGAGTAAAAACAATATAAAGAGCTCAGATACCATTCAGAACAGGAGTCTCATAGGAGATATCTCCCCTCCTTAAAAACTAGAACCCCAGAGAATCACACCTTCAGGATAAAGATAAACCATAATGGAACCTGCCCCACTTTCTCACATCCAGTGATCAACAAAGAGAGTTGTCTGGCTGAGTGTAGTGGAAGTTGGAAATTGTCCCTGAAAAGAATAACCACAAGCCAATTTTTTTCACTGTGCCTGGGTGTTGCTAAACATCAAATTTCAGTTTAAGGTGATCAAGGGCAGAAGCAAAGTCATATGTTTTCTGGAAGAATGTACCTTTATTCCAGGACTCAAAGAAGTCCCACAAATAATTTTTTGAGGAAACTATAATGAATAGTTCACAGTTTAAAGCAACTAAGCAGAGAAGGAAACAACCATGAGGAAGTATCAGCAGAAACAGAGAGTGAAAACAAACCCTCAAAAACTGACTACTGGAATCATCTGACATTATAAAAACAGCTCTGCTTACTATTCTTAAATGAAACAAAAGACAAACCTGATAAATACTTACTGGGAATAATAAACAGTGAAAAATAACACAGCGGATTTGAAAAAAAAAGAACTTACAGAAATTAAAAGTGCAGGGACTTCCGTGGTGGCTCAGTGGTTAAGAATCCACCTGCCAATGCAGGGGACAGGGGTTCAAGCCCTGGTCCAGGAAGATCCCACATGCTGCAGAGCAACTAAGCCTGTGCACCACAGCTACTGAGCCTGCGCTCTAGAGCCTGCGAGCCACAACTACTGAGCCTGTGTGCCACAACTACTGAAGCCCACATGCCTAGAGCTGGTGCTCATCAATAAGAGAAGCTGCCACAATGAGAAGTCTGCACACTGCAACGAAGTGTAGCACCCGCTCACCACAACTAGAGAAAGCCCACGTGCAGCAACGAAGACCCAACACAGTCAAAAATAATTAATTAATTTTAGAAAAACAAAACAAAGCAAAAAAAATGTGCAATGATTGAAATGAAAAATTCAACAGAGGAACTTATACAACCTCTTGATTTTCAATTAAAAAGCCAAAGCAATTCAACAGGAAAAAGAAATCTTTTCAACATATGGTGCTAGACTATCTCAATGTCCATATTTTAAAAATAGGATTTTGACCCATATGTTACACCATATGCAAAGACTAACTTGAGAACAGTCAGAGACCCAAATGTAAAATCTAAAACCATAAAACTTTCAGGAGACTATCTTTATTCTCCTAAAAGCATAGGAGAATATCTTTGTGGCTTGGAGGTAGTAAAATTTTCTTACACAGGTAACAGAAAACAGAAAAATTAGTTAAAGTAGACTTCATCAAAACTCTCTGGAGATATTATTTATTTTAGCCTCTACTGTTCTTTTATACAAAACTCCAGGTACCTAATGAAAAATTATAAGAATAGGAAAAGCAAAAAATGTGACCCATGGTCAAGACAAGAATAATCAATAGAAGTAGACCCACAGATAACCCAAATGTGGGAACTATTAGAAAGCGATATTAAAATAACTGTGATAAAAATTCTAAAGGGTCTAGTGGGAAAAGTACAGAGTTTAAAGTGGATAATTTCAACAAACATAAGAAAACTGGAGCCAGATGGAAATAATTGAATTAAAACATGTGATTGGAGGCTGCAATATACCACTTTCAATAGTGGATAGAACACCTATACAGAAGATCATTAAGGAACCAGAGGACCTGAACAACATTATAAACCAGCTAGACCTAACAGAGATATATAAACAATGCATCCAACAGCAGAATACACATTCTTCTCAAATGCACATAGAACATTCTCCAGGATAGACCATATAGGTCACAGAACAAGTATAATACATTTTAAAAGACTGAAATCATACAAAGTATCTTTTTTTGACCAAAGTGGAATGAAACTACAGATCAATAATAGAAAGAAAACTAGAAAGTTCACAAATGTGTGAAAATTAAACAACACACTCTTAAACACTGCATCGAAGAAGAAATCACAAAGGAAATTAGAAAATACTTATAGGTGAATGAAAATGAAAATGTAACAGCAAAACTTATGATATGCAGCAAAGATAGGGCTCAGAGGAAAATTTATAGCTATAAATGCCTACATAAAAAGAAGAAAGAGGGTCTTCCCTGGTAGCACAGTGGTTAAGAATCTGCCTGCCAATGCAGGGGACACAGGTTCGATCTCTAGCCCAGGAAGATCCCACATGTCGCAGAGCAACTAAGCCCATGCGCCACAACTACTGAGCCTGCGCTCTAGAGCCCGTGCTCTGCAACAAGAGAAGCCACGACAAAGAGAAGTCCACCTACTGCAACAAAGAGTAGCCCCCGCTTGCCTCAACTAGAGAAAGCCCATGCAAAGTAACCAAGACCCAACACAGCCAAAAATAAAAACAAATAAATAAATAAATTTATTAAAAAAAAAAAGAAGAGAAAGATCTCAAGTCAATAACCAAACTATATACCCTGAGGAATTAGAAAAAGAAGAGAAAACTCAACCCAAAGCTAGCAGAAGGAAGTAAATAAAGATTAGAGTGGAGAAAAATAAACTGGAGAATAGAAAAACAAAAGAATCAATGAAACCAGAAGTTGGTTCTTTGGAAAAATCAACAAAATTGATGAGCCTTTAGCTAGACTGACAAAGAATAAAAGAGACAAGATATAAATACCTAAAATCAGAAATGAACATGAGGGGCTTCCCTGGTGGCGCAGTGGTTAAGAATCCGCCTGCCATTGCAGGATACACGGGTTTGAGCCCTGGTCCAGGGAGATTCCACATGCCGCAGAGCAACTAAGCCCGTGTGCCACAACTACTGAGCCTGTGCTCTAGAGCCCACGAGCCACAACTACTGAGCCCACATGCCACAGCTACTGAAACCCGCACACCTAGACCCCATGCTCAGCAACAAGAGAAGCCACCGCAATGAGAAGCCTGTGCACCGCAACGAAGAGTAGCCTCGCTCGCAGCAACTAAAAAGAAAGCCCTCTCTCTCTCTCTCTCTCTCTCTTTTTCTCTCTTACTCCTCTTCCTCTTTCTCTTTCTTCTCTTTCTCTGCTATGTGAGGACACAACAAGAAAGCAACCATCTGCAAACCAAGAAGAGAGCTCTCACCAGAGCCCAACCACGCTGGCACCTTGACCCCAGACTTCCAGCCTCTAGAACTGGGTTGATGATGAAAAGTTTGGAAACTTCTGATCCATTTTCATGTTCCTGCTTCGAGAAGTACAGGGAGCAGCTTTCAGATGGAAAAAGTTGCCACGAGGACCAGAAGTAGAATAAAGGCATTTATGTAAAAAAAAAAAAGAAAGCCCGCGCACAGCAACGAAGACCCAACACGGCCAAAAATAAATTAATTAATTTTTTTAAAAAAGAAATGAACATGAGAACATTCCTAGAAACATAAAATTTATCTAAACTGACTCAAGGAGAAATAGAAATCTCAACAGACAAAACAAGAGATTGAATTAGTAATCAAAAACCTCCCAACAAAGAAAAGCTCAGGACCAAATGGCTTCACTGGTGAATTCTACCAAACATTTAAAGAAGAATTAACACCAATACTTCTCAAGCTCTTCGCAAAAACAGAAAAGGAAGGAACATTTCCTATTTCATTCTGTGAGGCCAGCATTACCCTGATATGAAAAACACACAAAGACACCATAAGAAAAGAAAATTACAGAATAGTATCCTTTATGAATATAGATATATCCCTTAGGAATAAGTTCTGAACAAAATATTGGCAAACTGAATCCAACAGCATATAAAAAGGATTATATACCATGACCAAGTGGGATTTATCTCAGGAATGCTAGAGAGGTTCAACCTAAGAAAATCAGTCAATGTAATTTACCACAATAATAGAACAAAGGGAAAAAACACAAATGAGTATCTCAACTAATGCAGAAAAGGCATCTGACAAAATTCAACATCATTTCATGATAAAAAAAAATACATAGTCAGAAAACTAAGAACAGAAGTTAACGTCCTCAACCTGATAAAGGGCATTTATGAAAAACCCACAGCCAACATCATACTTAATAGTGAAAGAATGAAAGCTTTTCCTCCAAGATTAAGAACAAAACAAAATGGAAAATTACAATTTTGGAAAAACGGTATCTCTTGTATCAGCCATTGTAAGCTTGACAGCTTCCCAACACTTAAAGATTTTTCTAATGAGATTTGTGATGATGTTAACGAATGTGATTTCTTAATACTGTATAATGAAATGCATGAACATTTGGAAAGTATGCATAATTCAGGGAAGCAAATTTCCAAATGACCTATGTATGATGATTCAAAGTCATTCAAGGATAATAGATCCATTCAAAGTGCAAGACAGACCAATGGATTTTAATATAACAGAGTATAAAAATTCTTTGCCAGATATTTGCAAAAAATGTAAAGCAATATCATTGTTCTCACTACATTTTTTGTTTTGGAGAATTTACTTATTTTTCTTTTTTTTTCTTTTTTTTTTTTTTTGCGGTACGCGGGCCTCTCACTGTTGTGGCCTCTCCCGTTGCGGAGCACAGGCTCCGGACGCGCAGGCTCAGCGGCCACGGCTCACGGGCCTAGCCGCTCCGTGGCATGTGGGATCTTCCCGGACCGGGGCACAAACCTGTGTCCCCTGCATCGGCAGGCACACTCTCAACCACTGTGCCACCAGGGAAGCCCCTATACTTATTTTTCTAAAAATATATTTATGTTTCCCTATATAAATATACAAAAAAACATGTAATAGGTTTACTATTGTTATTTTAAATGAATTAATAAATAATTTTTTATTTCTATGGTTTTAAATTTTTTCAGTTTTAGTTTATATAATAGGGAATATCAGTAGATACATCTATATAAACAAAAGCTCATTTGGGTCCCCAGTAATTACTCTAAGACTGTAAAGGAGTCCTGAGACCAAAAAAGTTTGAGAATCACTGTCCTAGAGACTCTTCCACTTACATCCAGGACATGTATAAAAACAGTCTTGGAAACATTGTTTCTAACCACCATGTGTTGGAATCAACACACATATCCATCAGTAGTGGGATGGATAAGTGAATTATAGTATAGTCATACAGTGGGATATTATACAGCAATGAAAATGGACAAATTACAGCTACATACAATAAACATAATATTAAGTTTTAAAAAAAGCAAAATAATATAAACAGTATTACACAAAGTTTGAAAAATAGTGAAACTAACCTATATTATTTCAGGAGGCATATTTAAATCAGAAAATGTTTTTAAATGTCAGCTGACAATAGAAGGTTTTCATTCCAAATAAATAAAGTAATTTTGGGACCTCCCTGGTGGAGAAGTGGTTAAGAATCCACCTGCCAATGCAGGGGACACGGGTTTGAGCCTTGGTCTGGGAAGATTCCACATGCTGTGGAGCAACTAAACCCGTGTGCCACAACTACTGAGCCTGCCCTCTGGAGCCCATGAGCCACAGCTACTGAGCCCGCGTGCCTAGAGCCCATGCTCCGCAACAAGAGAAGCCACCACAGTAAGAAGCCCGCACACTGCAACGAAGACCCAATGCAGCCAAAAATTAATTAATTAATTAATTTTTCTAAAAATTAAAAAAGTAATAATTTTGTACTAAAATTCACTTTAATAAGGTCTCTATTCTGTATCTCCTTCCACTACTCTGCCTTCCAGCTGCGCCTTTGCACATGCTGTCCATTCTTTCATACTTGCCAAACTCCAACGTGCCCTTCGAGATCTGAGACCAATATCCAAACTCCTCACTGTTTGACCCTGAGGACATATTGGCCCCAGCGATCCAAACTTTCTGTGCCTTTGGGAATGACTGAGCTTCAGAGTGGGGCAGAACTGGCTTTGAATTCTAGCTCTGACACTTAACCAGCTATGACATGGTGGATCAGTCACTTTCCCTCTCTAAGCCTCAGTTTCTGCACCTGTCAAATGGGGTAACATCTTCCCAAGGCTGTTGAGTCACACTAGGTAATACATGCAGATGCTTAGCCAAGGAAGCTTTCTATAAATGTGAACTTCCTTTACCCTTCCCGTGTGTTGTGTTCAGAGCTTCAAACCAGGAAAGTCATGCCAAGGAAATGTACTCTCAGACCTTCTTCCAAAGAGATCTTGCATGTTCCCAGTATCCCTGCTGGGCCCTACAATGTACATCGTCACCCTTAGCTACTCCAAATGGAGCTCAGTCCTATGCTCAGAGCAACAGGTCCCATGGCCTGGTATCAATCCACAGGACAAATGTTAGGTCACCCCTGCCCAAAGACCTCCAGTAGGCTTAGAAGAAAGGGTATTCAGGGTGGGGAAATGGGTGGGTGAGGCATTACCTCCTGGGCCAGGAAGCGCAGTTTCACCAGGAGCTTCTTGGCCAGTGCCACCTTCTCTTGCACGTTGCCCTGTCTCAGGCCCCGAAGGAGCCACAGTCCTTGCTTTGCCAACCGGTTCTGAAAGGGCAGGAAGAGAACATGAGTGGAGGGTCCCTGCTGGGTGCCCCTGATCCCCCTTCCCCAGACTGTACCAGGCTAAACGCCAGCTGTTTCCCTTGGCATCTGTATAGATCCAGCGCGTTGGGCCGAGTCATTGTCCTGTGCTCAGCACCGTGGCAAAACTGTCTGCAAGAGCAGTAGCGGGTGTGGCAGGTGGGAATCAAAGGAGACAACACTGACCCTTAGGGGCCACCTCCCTCAGAGCAGGCCTCCCAGGCCCAGCCTCCGTCACAGCTCCTCTCAGTCTTGTTCTCAAGGAGGCATCCTTCCTCAGCCAAGGATGGATTCTATATTTGAACCACTCCCCAACTCATCAAGGCCAGCCTCACTTTGGAGACCCAGAATGTACTAGCATTTAACTATTTACTGCCCTGGCTACTCAAAGTGTGGCCCAGGCCCAACAGCATTGGTATTACCTACTTAGAAACGTAGAATCTCAGCCCCACCCCAGACCTGCTGCATCAGAAATCTGCATTTTTATACCTGGAGGATTCAGATGCATGTTAAAGGCTCACATGGGCTGTACTTGACAGTTCCAACACTGACCAAAGATAGTTCAAACATTACATGCTCAAACCAAGTGCATGAGTTCCAATGACTGCCCCAGGCCCCCACCTTGAAAGCGAACCCTGCTTCACTTCAAAACTTCCAAGTCATCCTTCACTGCTCTTTCTTTCACTCACATTCCACATCGATCCCATCAGCATATCATTTAGTCTCTACTTCCAAAATATATTCAAAATCTGACCACTTTCCCCCTTTTCCAGGACCACCCTAGTCCAAGCCACTATCACTTCTCACCAGGATTATTGCAACACCCTCCTAGCTGTTCTTACCACGTCTACTCTTACCCTCTCTCCTACGGAATATTCTCAATATAGCATCCAGAATGAGCTTTTCAATGCTTTTCAGACCATTTCACTCCTCTCCAGAAGTTTCTCATCTCAGAGTTAAAAATAAAATTCCGGGCTTCCCTGGTGGCGCAGTGGTTGAGAGTCCGCCTGCCGATGCAGGGGACACGGGTTCGTGTCCCGGTCTGGGAGGATCCTACATGCCACGGAGCGGCTGGGCCCGTGAGCCATGGCCGCTGAGCCTGCGCATCTGGAGCCTGTGCTCTGCAACGGGAGAGGCCACAACAGTGAGAGGCCCGTGTACCGCAAAAAATAAAATAAAATTCCTTTTTTTAAAAAATTTATTTATTTTATTTTTGGCTGCGTCGGGTCTTCATTGCTGCACGCGGGCTTTCTTTAGTTGCGGGGAGAGGGGATACTCTTCATTGTGGTGCGCAGGCTTCTCATTGCGGTGGCTTCTCTTGTTGCGGAGTACGGGCTCTAGGCGCACAGGTTTCAGTAGCAGCGGCACATGGGCTCAGTAGTTGTGGCCCGGGGGCTCTAGAGCGCAGGCTCAGTAGTTGTGGTGCATGGGCTTAGTTGCCCCGTGGCATGTGGGATCTTCCCAGACTAGGGCTTGAACACGTGTCCCCTGCATTGGCAAGTGGATTCTTAACCACTGTGCCACCAGGGAACCCCCCAAATAAAATTCTTTAAATGGCCTAGAAGGCCCTACATGCTCTGTTTTCTTTATCTCCCTGTCTTCACCAAATATTACTCTCCCCTCACACACAGCCCTACAGTCACACTGGCCTTTTTGCTGCTCCCTGAATACGCCAAGCCCGTTACTACCTCAGCACCCTTGTATTAGCTGCTCCCTCTGCTGGACTGTCAGGCCCCTAGATCTTTCCATGGCTCACTCTCCCCTTCTTCATTCAGGTCTTTGCTCAAATGTTATCTCTTCACAGACCTTCCCAGGTCATCTCCTCTAAACAGTCCCTGCTACTTTCTCCACCCTCATACTCTGCTTTATCCATCTCTCCAAATAGAATGTAAGGCATGGGGCTTCCCTGGTGACACAGTGGTTAAGAATCTGCCTGCCAATGCAGGGGACACGGGTTCAAGTCCCAGTCTGGGAAGATCCCACATGCCGCAGAGCAACTAAGTCCATGTGCTACAACTACTGAGCATGCACTCTAGAGCCCACGAGCCACAACCACTGAGCCCATGAGCCTAGAGACCATGCTCCACAATAAGCCCGCACACCGCAACAAAGAGTAGCCCCCACTCACCGCAACTAGAGAAAGCCTGCACACAGTAACGAAGACCCAATGCAGCCAAAAATAAAAATAAATAAATTTATTTTTAAAAATACATTAAAAAAAAGAAAGTAAGGCATGGCGGGGACTTCATTTTGATTACCACTGTAACCTCAGGGCCTGGCACCTAATAGATGCTCAAAAAATATTTGTCAGGTAAAGTAAAATGATTTTTGAAACATGATATTTTGGTCCCTTTTTGACCCCTAATGATGTCTTAACTTTTTATTATGGAAATTTTCAAAAATATATAAAATAAGTGACTCCAAGGATTTTTCACCTAATACTGCTCCCAGAGCTTATCTTTTCAACTTACTAATGCTCTTTGCTCCAAGACTTCTATTGGCAGAAATAATCTGACATAAAATAACACAAAATAAAACTGACAAGAGTCAAAACTGCACCTATTTAAATGTCAATTATACCTCAATTTAAAAAAAAACTGCACTTATTGGGACTTCCCTAGTAGTCCAGTGGTTAAGACTCTGTGCTCCCAATACAGAGGGCCCGGGTTTGATCCCTGGTCAGGGAACTAGATCCCTCATGCCGCAACTAAAGATCCCACATGCCACAACTAAAAAAAAAAAAAAAAAATCCTGCATGCCACAACGAAGATCTCACACGCGGCAACAAAGATCCTGCATGCCACAACTAAGACCCACCTCAGCCAGATATATAAATAAATAAATAATAAATAAAAACTGCACTTATTAACATTTGCTATTGATTAAAAATTGACAGAAGAGGGGCTTCCCTGGTGGCGCAGTGGTTGAGGGTCCGCCTGCCGATGCAGGGGAC